CAGATTGAAGTTCAGAGAGAGAGAAGGGATCATTATAGGGAAGGTGAAGATAAGTACAGAAATTTAAAGGACGAGATTCAAGGAGAGGCTTACGAAGAAGGAAGGATTGGGGGAGATGAGAACCAGAACTAACAGAGGAGAAATGGGAACCCAGTTCGGTCGCAACCTGCAACGGGTCCGCCACAAGAGCACCATGGAGGCGAAGGACCGGTGAGACATCGGGAACAAACTTACCCGCAATCTTGCAGATACGCTTCCAGACCAGTGGGAGAGGAGTTTCGGACGTAACGGTAGAGACATAAGACTCCCAGCAAGCACGTTTAGCCGCACGGATGGTCCTTTGAGACACCGCACTCGCCTTCCGAAACATAAGAAAAGACTCAACCGTCTGCCGGCGGCGATGTCTCTTCCAGGCTGCACGCTTACAGCGGACAGCCGGAGCACCGTCCAAACTCCACCAGGGAATGCACTTCCGCATTCCCCGAGAGGAAGAGCGAGGAATAGGGTGGTGGGCAGCGTCAAAGACAGTGTCATGAAAAAGAAGGAGGGCGCGAGGGAGAGGTAAAACGGAGAGGTCGGAAATAGTAGCACGGAGAGTAAAGAGGCACCAGTCAGCCTCGGCAAACTGCCACCTAGGGAAGGAGAGAGGAGGGCGAAAGGAGAAAAAGTGACAAGGATAGGAAAATGGTCACTGCCATGGAGGTCATCAAGGACTCGCCACCCGAAATCTAAGGAAAGGGATGACGAGCACAGAGAAAGATCGAGACAAGAAAGGGAGCGAGTCTGAGAGTCCAAATGAGTGGGCTCACCAGAATTAAGAAGGGACAGGGAAGAAGAGAGGACGAAAGGTTCAAGGAGGCGACCCCGGGTGTTTGTCAGCACATCACCCCAAAGGGCATGACGACAATTGAAATCACCCAGCAGGAGCACAGGCTCCGGCAAGGAGTCTAGGAGGTGTTTAAGATCGGGAAGAGAAAGTGGAACAGTGGTGGGGAGATAAATGGAACAAACCGTGTACCATCTACGCACAAAGATACGGGCGACAGAACAGTGGAGAGGCGAGGAAAAAAGTAAGGGGAAAAAGGGAACATTGGAACGAATCAAGAGAGCAGAAGAATTATGGACCCTAGCGACTGCTGTGGGAGGGGAGAGAGAAGAATAGCCACGGAAGCGACCAGGACGAGAACCAAGCATCGGCTCCTGGAGACAGACACAAAGGGGCGAAAACTGTGAAATGAGAAGTTGGAGGTCAAGGAAATTGGCGTAAAATCCACGGATGTTCCACTGGAGAAAAGAAATCAGCAAAGAGAGAGAGGAGAGCAACAGAGAGCAAAGAAGAAACAAAGGTGAAGAAGGAACACAGCACCCTAAAAAAGCACAGAGTCAGGATCAGGGTCAGCGAAGTCAGGGTTAGGGGGCATGGGTAAACTGAGTAAAGAAGGAGGGCAAGAAGCGGGAGGACGGACCAGAGGTGGACGAGCAGGGTCTGGGGGAGAAGGAAGGGGACGAGGGGGGGGGCAGAAAGAGGGGAGTGTACCTCAGCAAGGGCAGTAACCGAGATGGAACCGGGGGCTAAGAAACCCCCACAGAAGGAACAGGGGGCACCACCACCGAAGTGGGAGGGGAAGGAATGATAGAATCAGAGATAGGGGGTGAAGAAGAAAGCGAAGCTTTCTTACCAACAGGGGAGGAGGAAGGAGAGGAGCCAGGTTTCCGCTTCTGACTCAAAGATACAGGCGTCCCAGCAGCAACGTACTGGGCAACAGACTCCAATGTCTCGATAGGAGAAGAAGATCGAGAGCGAGCAACACAACCATCAGGAGAGCGATGGACATCGGCCCGCACAGTCAGGCGACGTGGAGAGCCAAGAGACGGAGGAGAAGGACGGGAAGAAGGACTAGAAGGAGAGGAAATAGAAGACACAGGAGACGTGACAGACTGAGTAGAAAGAAGGGGAGCTCCAGACAGAGAACCAGGAGGGGGACCCATTGGGACAGAACGGAGGGAAACAGGGGAGGCGGTGGTGGGCGTGTCCGGGTCTAAGGCTCGGAAACGGTTGTGAGACTGAGGAAGGCGGGAAGGACGAGGAGAGGAAGAGCGCACCACGCGAGCATAGGAGACACCGGCGAAAGAGGGGAGACGATGAACTTGGCGTCGAGCCTCAGGAAAAGACAAACGGTCCCGGTGCTTCAAATTGAGGACAGCCGCCTCAAGTTTGTAACGAATACACGTACGGGAGAAGGTAGGGTGGGCCCCACCGCAATTGAGGCAGCAGGCCTGGGGAGAAGTGCACTCCAACTTAGAGTGACCCTCGCTTCCACACAAGGGACAGAGAGAGATAGGACTAGAGCATTTGAGGGTACCATGCCCAAACTTCCAGCACTTACTGCAGAGCCGAGGAGATGGAACATACTCCTGAACGGAGCACCTGGCACCAGCAAGAATGACAGAGGATGGAAGGGTCCTACCATCAAAGGTAACCTTCACAACACGAAGAGGCAGATGGCGATGACCACGAGGGGGACGAGTAAATGTATCCACCTGGAGGACAGAATAACCCTGGGCCTCGAGGACATGCTTGATATCCTCGTGGCAGTCCCTGAGATCCCTAACACCGGTCGCAACATGGTGCAGGAGGAGGACAGTGCCCACACTGGCATTCAACCGGACGTTCTTCGAGACCTGAACAGGGGTTTCACCAAGCCAGGATAAGGCGGCCAGGTGAGTGGCCGCATCCTGAGAAGGAGCAGCAACGACACGGGTACCAAGACGAGTGGGGTTGAAGGTGACAGAGGCATCCATGGAGTCGACAAGATGCCTATGAAGGGAAAAATCATCAAGAGGAGTTGAGTCCAAAGGTTGGAGGTCAAAGTATTTAGTCCATGTAGCAGGACCAAACAAAGCATGGAACGAAGTAGGATGGGAAGGGAGCATACGAGAGCGGCCGTGGCGGGTACGGCGATGAGAACCCGTAGGGAGAGACGGGTCGAAAGGTTCAGTAGTCGCAAGAGATGGAGACGGTCACCACAGCAGGCTTGGGACTCGACCCAACCACAGAGGAGGGAGGGGAGCAGGGAGGAAGAGTCCGGTCTGGGCCTAAACCGGGCTCTGTAGCGGAGGCTACAGATCCCGGTCTTCCAGGACGGTCCAACTCAGGGGCCTGGTCGCCCACCCCATGAGCCTGGTTAGGAGTAGTCAAGTCGTCATCCATATAGCAAACCAATACATAAGGGATGGGACCCGGAACCAAGGGATACCACGTACCAGGGCAGCCAGGGAGGCCGAGCGCGGGCCAGTGCAGGAAGGGTGTGTCGTCCCCAGCGGTGCTCCCCCTTTTCAACAGGGGAGTCCTACTACTTCGTTCATTCTCCCACACTGGTGCTAAGACCCCAGTCCCCCTATTGCCCCAGCCTGGACACCCAACCATCCACTCAGGGCGGCCTCTCACAGGCGACCCCACCAGCGGGTGGTCCGATGGCTCACAAGGCCCCTACATGGTGCCCTTCAGCACGTACACCACCCAAAGAGGGGGCACAGGCAACCCACACCTGTCCCAGGGAGATGTACGTGAGCCCCTCACCACGGCAAGGAGGCACCACGGAGGGGGAATACATGAAAGAAAATTATAAATTTGAAATTTGAAAAATTTCTTGAAATTTTTTTTCCTGAAAATTATGATAATTTGGGCTAATCATAAAGTATGCAATATGATTAAAATATAGTAACGTGATAAAGAAAACCTAATCCTAATTATAATAAAACTTACTTGAATTATTGGAATCCATTGTTGCAATGTTCTCTCAGATATTCGACTGCATGAGAAACAATATCACTGGTTGAAATTGATGTTGGGCTGCTGTCAAATTTACCTACAAAGAACAAAATTATTTAATACCAGGCATAAAATAGAATCCGTTTAGATTAATTATATGAAGCTACAAGAACAAGGTAGGATGCATACTTGCACCACCATCCAAAAACTGCAAATGAGAGTTGTGACACACAAATCTCATAAGCACTTTTTTGTTTACATATTAACTTCTTGGCGTTTTTTTCAGTAATTAAACTGCGATAAAAATAAAATCAATACATGTGAAAATACAAGCAAAATATAACTGAAATTTGTACAATGAAACTTTACAGATGATACAGAAGATACATGAAAATTGGCACTGTAGGAGACATTGAAAAAACATAAATAACATGATGTTTAACAGTGATAATTTACAGGTGTAAATTATCAAGGAGTACAGGACACAATCAGACCTACTCAGAAGGAAAAAACATGTAAGAGATCTCAGAATTACGACGTCTGACGAGTTGACATTTTGTGAACATAACCGAGCAAATATAGTGGCGGCGAGAAAAATAATGGGATGGTTTATGAGAACGTTAAAATTCAGAGACCCCTCCCACAGTAATGCTAATACTATTTAAATAACTGGTGCTGTCCCATCTTGAGTATTGCTCGGTACTCACTCCCCCTTTCTGAACAGGAGAGATCTCTGAATTAGAGGGAATAAAGAGACCATAAGCAGCAAACATCACAGGAGAGATCCATCGGCCACCAGGAAGCTCATCATGCGTCACAAACGCTACAAGATCAGGGGTACGCCTCTCAACGAACAACCATTCTCCAAGACATCTCTCCTGAAGCTCTTTAAAGACGTTGCAGGAGTAACACCCAACGACATCAAGCAGGAAGGCACGGACATCCTCTTCTTCTTTTATAGTGAGGAGAAAGTCGACAAACTTCTGTTTTTCAGCGCTAATTTCTCCAACCAACACCTTTGTCTCAACTTCCCACGCCAGTACCTGGCTGAACACTCTGTCGTTATTCACGATCTCAGTCAATGGATCGTGGAACAAGATGAAGCTGATGAAGAGCGTTCATGCGCGATTTCAAGGCATCAAACCCGGACCTAGGGCTTCACGAAGCTCACTTCTTCAACGGAAATCGCTCCCTGAAGCTGACCTTCGAGACAGTAGCTGCGGCTACTATGGCTACCAGAAATGGTGTTTACAGCTTTGGAATTCACATTCCGCCATTCCGTGTGAAGATGGAACGTTTTCACATCGTCAACCAGTGCCTCCGATGCTACGAGTACACCCACTCCACCAGCAAATGTACCCAGCGGATTCAGAAGTGTAGCCTCTGCTCAGCTGACCACCATTACTCCATCTGCAAGTCTGAAACACTATGCTGCTTGCTGTGCAAAGGCGATCATCCAGCAATCTCCATACGTTGTACTCGTAGACAAAACGTCATTAAAAACATGGAGAAATCCACATCTTCAACCGGAGCCAGTACCTCTGGAGCAACAAGCCAATCAGCGACCACCTCTACTTCAGGTTTCGACGCCCAAGCCGCCATTTTCCCGGAGCTCCCGGGAGGACGTCCCACTGCTACTACCAGCCAATGGGGAGCCAGCTCCCAAACGCCAACCAGCGATTCGTCGAGCCAGCCATCACCCCCGGCCCACACCAACCGACCACTGAACAGCACAGTTCAAGCATTAACATCGGCGGCCAGCATGATAGCTTGCAATAACCCCAGGGAATACGTAAGAATATTAAATATTCTATACAAAGCAAATGGTCTTCCAGCTTTCATAGTTCCAGAAGAAGTCTTCACCAACACCACTTCAAGTTCTCAAGATACAGTCTTGGTCCCTGACATCACCGTGAACGCCGCCGTGCTCACGGATCTACTATCAACAGCAAAGCCTACTCCTCCAGCAACTTCATCACAAGCCACCCAGACGTCGACGCCTCCTCTATCGACTACTGATACAGTGCCATCTCTCGTGTGCGAACCCTCTACACGTCCTAAATCAGCTGCAACTCCCATTAAGCTTCAACAGGCAAGAACTCAACCTCCAAGATTCACTGCATCTACTTCTGACTCAGCTGACTCATCAGATGAGGACGTCTCGGTGGGAATACCATCTCCTCCACTGAAGCAACCCTACACAACAGAAGATTTTCGGCTGGAAGCTACCTCCAACGATAGCCTCACCGTATCAACACGAAGCAAGACCAACAAACAGGCCAGGTGGCCTGGGAAGAAGAAAAACACCGACGATCTGCGCCCGAGTACATCAAGGAATCAGCAGAACACCAACGCAAAGCTGAAAGAACACCGAGACGAGAAGCTCTGCCTCCTACAAGACACATCAGCGAGCACCCATGAGAACTCCACTCTACCACCAAACTGCAGCATCAGCTGCAATTCTTACCCACGGTGGTTGAGCCACCGATCTTTCATCTCCCCTCTTCACCTCGTCTCCAGTTCCCTGCTCAAGATTTCTGCATCCTCGCCCCTGTCTTCAATCCCCTGCTTGCCTACTCTAGGGCCTTGAAACCGGAAACCGGAAACCGGAAGCAGCAAGCATAGAAATAATAAAACATCTAAATAATTGAGACTGTCTCAAAGCTCTCAATATTGTACTCTCTGAACAGGAGACAAGAATGGTATCAAATAATAAATATATGGAAGATACTGGAGGGCCAGGTACCAAATTTGCACAGCATAATATAACAACATACTGGAGCTAAAGATACAGAAGGAAATTAATAATAGCAACAGTGAGGAGTAGAGGTGTCATAGGTACAATCAGAGAGCAGTCATAACAGTAGCGGGGGGGTCAAGAGCTGTTTGCTAGGCTAGGCAAGGGTAGACTAGGCTTGGATAGTGTTGGCTAGGTTATGCTAAGAAGAAGTAGGCTAGGCTGATTTACTCCACCAGTAATTTGGGGGGAGAGGGGAGGGGGGAACCTCAATATAAGCCTAACTTGTAACTTCCTGTTCCCTGACTCAATGATTTATTTTGCCAGGCTTTCAGCACAGCCGCATCAAAAACCCTGGTTATTTAATTATAAACAAGAAGGTACACTGGGGATTAAGAGAGAACATAGGAATAATGATGATTTTACAATCTTGTAAAGCCCCTAGCACGCATACCGTTTCGGGCAAAACTCTTGTGATCTTTTACCTACTCAAAAGCTGGACTGGTCAACTTCGTATCCATTTTCTTCTTCTTCTTGTTGATAGTAGGTGCAGTTTGCATGAAGGGTTTGTCCTCCCGATGACTGCACCAGGACTGATGTTGGTGGACGCGTTTATGTTGAGGATGATCGGAGCTACCAAGGTGCTTGTTGCGTTGTGCTGTAGATAGAGGAACGGTGATTAAAACAGAGGTGTATGTTGTAGGGAGACTTGCCGCACCGTAGGGCGGTGTGTTGTGTTTATGGCATCAGCTGATCCTTGGAGTTGCGACAAGGCAGTTGTTTTCTGTGTTTAGCTGTTGGTGGCGCCAGGTATAAATGTGGCGCGGATCAGATGTGACCCAATTTGTTGGTCGAATGCAGATATTTAGCGAGTGCTTTGACTATTTGGTATTTTTCTTGTAACGAGTGGTCACCACCTCCTAATATATGCTCGATGGTGAAGGGTATTTTATGTGCGATAAAGACTTGTTTGAAATTTACTCTGGCACTATGATGTCGGAAGCAGTGCAGGAGATAGTGTTCGATTGTTTCAGGCACCTGACAGTGAGTACAGAGTTCATTGATGTCTGTTCTGTACTTAGAGCTGTGTGCTGCTAGTTCGGTATGTCCCAGCCTTAATCTGGTCATCGTTACATCAATTTCTCTGCTTTTATATCGAACATGTTTCCAAGTTTCCCATTTCTTTTAAATGGACCCATAGTGCAAAGGTGAGCATAACGTCTTCCAGTTTGTTGCAAAAACCTGGGAGATGGTATCTTTGAAGGCTCCTTTACGTGCAACATGGGGAATTGGATAACGGGTAAGGTGAGGCATGATGTGCGTGCTTTGGCTAGTTGGTCTACAAGTTCATTATGGTGAATACCACAATGTGCTGGGACCCATTGGATAGATGTGTCATAACCGTTCAATTGATGTTTGTGAAGAAATTGTAGGCATGGGTAGACAATCTCCTTGCATGTTTTCGAAGAGTATGTAATTGCTTGAACCGCACTCTTGGAGTCACTGCAGATTGTATATGTCCCGACTGGTAATGTTGTGATGATTTGGAGAGCTTGATACAAGGCATATAATTCCGCTGTGAAAATAGATAGTTGGTTTGGTAACCACCATCCCTGCTTGAGATGGTATTCCAGTATCCATACAGCGCAAGTGACCGAGGGTACGATGTTCATGAAGATGCGAGATCCATCTGTGTAAATCTGTGGTATTTGGGTAGCAATTTTTCATTGTTGAGAGAAAGACTGAGGCTATGGCTGAGTTTGGTGCAGATTTTGGAATGTTGTCTTCGAGTTGTATTGCTGTATTAGGAGTTGTATAAAGCCAAGGTGGAATGGGGGAACAGGAAGTTGGGTTTCACAGTTTTGGAGTAGGGAGAGGTCTATATTGAGGTTATTTGTAGCCCGTGTGAGGAAAGGTTGCGAGTGAATGGTTGGGAGCGGGGGTTATGTGGGTTAACTGTTGGGTTAATTTTTGATCTGTATGGGTGTGTCTGGTGAGCAGTGGTACAGAGTGACAGATAGTTGGCACACATAATGTCTCGTCTGGTGGCTAGGCTTGTGAGGTCTGTTTCCCTGTAAAGTCCGAGGATTGGAGTTGAACGCATTGCGCCACATATAAGTCGCATGGCATTATTTTGTATGACCTCGAGGCTCTGTAGGTTAGTAGGCGCAGCCGACGCATATGCTTGGCAACAATAGTCTAGTTGGTTGCAAATGTAGGTTGTATAGAAACGGAGCAAGATTTTATGGTGTGCTCCCCAGGTGGTGCCAGTGAGGGCTTTAAGTATTGCGAGTTGGGGTTGTGTCGTCTGTTTAAGGTGTTGAATGTGTGCTTTCCAGGTAAGTAAGGGGGAGTCTAAGCGCATGCCAAAATATTTATGTTCTCATACGTGTTGGATGGGAGTGTTGTGTATTGTGAGGGTGGGTAGATGAAGTAGTCTTTTTTTTAGTGAAAATCTGATAACAGGTTTTGGTAGTACTAACTTGAAGGTCCCATTGTTGTGTCCAATCTATGAGGTGGTCAAGTGCTGTTTGCATTGTTGAGACTGTATTAGGTAGGGCATTGTCTGAATAATACAATGTTAAGTCGTCGGCGTACGCCGAGAGGTGAACAGGATGGGTGTTAGGCAAATCTGCTAAGAATGCGGCAAATAGGGTTGGGCTTAGTATGGAGCCTTGTGCGACACCTGTTTGTATCGGGATGCCATCGGAAAACTCGCCTTGTATAAAGACTTTGGAGGTCCTGTTTGTGAGATAGGACTGTAACCATAGAAGTAATCTTTCCTGTACGCCTAAACTTGCAAGCTTTGCGAGGAGGCAAGTATGAGGAATGCTATCAAAAGCTCCTTTGAGGTCTAGGTAGACAACAAGACAATATTTACTGCTTCTGAGGGAGGTGCGGATTTCATGTTCAAGGCAGAGTATTTGATCTAGCGTGAAGCATTGCGGTCGAAATACAGCTTGGAGTGACGATATAATATTATTATACTCTAGGTATAATAGTCACAGTTTTGTCGAGGAGGAGTCGAGTCGAGGTCTAGGGAGGGGGAAGACATATCGTGCGCGCTCCGTTAAAATCGTGACATTAACCAGGATTTCTTAGGACTACTGCCATGGATTACTGATTACAGACATAACAAAGTGCATAGTGACCCGCTGGAAAATTGAAAACAGTCATTAACAATAGAACTTTGTGTTAAATAGAGAATAAACGGGAGACCACGTGTGAGCCAGTGCACGAGGCTTTGTGTACATTCGTGTATGAGGAAAAAATAGTGAACAGTGATTCGGGGAACAGTGAAGTGGAACGGGTATCACAACAATATATAAGTTGGAAGTGTAGGAAAATCGTGCATAGAATACTAGAAATATAGAATAGTGGCAAGAGGTGGCATCAGTGGTTATAAATCTAGTAACTGGAAACTGGTGACATCAACCTGGGACAACAAGAGGTCACCTGTACCGACCGCGGACCAGCTTCGCTACCCTACGCTAAGTACCTGCCATAAAGTTTGAACAAAATAACATACATAATATTACAAATATACGGTATACATATAATATTATAAATATTAAATATATAAATATATACATATAATTTTATAAAGAGTTAAAAGGAC